TGACTTCCCTTTTTTCAGCCACAAGTTTTCATTGACATGGAGGTTTGTGTTCATGGAGTAGTTTTCATCTGTAGGAGAAACATGGGGATCATAAAGGACAAAGTTTAGATCCTAAAAGTATGGATATTTGTTTGTTACTGATTGCAGAAGGCCATATTGATGTCACTTTCAGACTGACACACCTTATCTTTTTAGCAATGAAGATGTTCCACTATCTTGCATACACTGGCTGGTCAGGGTTGGCAGATGATTTGTTTTTCCTACGCACTGTGCTCCGTTTCCCAGACTACAAATTCCTGCAAATGTGGCACCAATGAACAGTAATTAATCCAGCTTTTTAAAGGATTTAAGATGAAAATAATACAAATCCATTTTGTGCATCAATACCATAGTTAGTATAACTAAACCCTTGAATATGATGCTGGCAACTCCATGCTTTCCTATTGGAAATTCATTTATGCTTTTGACAGCCCTAATTCGACTCGTCCCTACACACTTCAGTTCATTTATGTCTAAATATTTTTCTTCATCTGAGCATAAATCTGTTCCCTGGAGAATCCATGGAAGCATCTGTTTATGAAACGCTTCAGTCTTGGTGGCTCCTGGGTTAGGATTACAGATTAGACCCCCTTCATGTAGGGGTGAAAGTTTGGGTCAGGTTGTTAAACTTGGACCCATGTGGATATCCCAAAGGGACAATGGTTCCTAAACCGAAGCTGGAATAGTTTTGAGAGGCTTTTATTGAGCTTTCCAAATGGTCAGAGCCCGAACTCCACCCTATTGAAAATTAGTTACCGCGGCAACGGCTTTTAATTAATCTTTTACTCTAAACCAGGAAGAAAAGCCAGATATGCAGCCAGCATTATACCGGTAATAGGAGATTGCTGATGATGTGGCTATGGTGAAATTAGTGTTAATACATATTAAGCCTATATGTAAAAACTTTAATCCTGTGCAGATTAGAGATACCCTTAACTGAAGCTCTAAGTTCTTGTTTTTAAAAAAATGTTTAGTTGGATGTTGTGGTTAAAGAAGCATTCAAAATAACGTAATAAAAGTAAGATGTGCGTCATAAGAGTTTACAGACATCTGATATTTTTGTGTATTATGAGATAACATCAGTCTGTCAGAAAGGAAATGTGAGGTTAAAGGATGAAGAGATAAAAGAAACGCGTAATAATATATATTTTTTTACATTAGAGGTTAAAGTTAGCATGATGATGGTAAACCACCAACAGCCACCTTCCGATTACTCAAACTTTGCTTTTGAATCATAACTAAAGTGCACATGGGCAAGCCGGGTGTTTACCGACTACTGCTTCTCATCAAGGCACTTAAAATGTCCTGTTAATGAAAAAAATGTATCGATCCTAAAGGTTGTGTCCTTGAGATACCTGAAATGGATTTGTCTTAATGCCAATGAGTATTTGTAGAGGTCAGCAAGACCATATTTTTATATTTATTTCTTAAACTTCATGCATAATATTTTTTCATTTTTTTTACACAATGGAATGGTAACATGTGTGGAACTTTAAATGTAAAAGTACCCTCAGCCATGAGAATAAGTTGACTAAATTAGTTTCCCTTGTTTCCTCAGTTTTGCATTGAGTGCTTATAGTGTCATTGTGTGTGTGAAGTAAAAATGAGCACAGAGATTGATATAAGGAAGAAAAATCTTATTTCATTCTGCAGAGAAGAACGACAGGAAAAAGCTGAATACAGCTCCCAGTGTGACCTGGGGTGGTGGCATCCCACCCCTGCATATAAAGAGACTCCACACGCATGAACATTGTTTCTTCAGCTCAACAACGACATACATTTAGTCAGATAAACACTTCAGACAAACATACCAGAAAAAGGACGTGAGAACCATGAACGCAGTGAGGACATTCTTATCTAAACTAGGGAGAAAACTTTCTTTTTCTCAGGCTTCTAAATAATCACCCTATTCAGGCAGAGAAAAATGCACACTTTTAAACATTTTATCTTACAAACAGGCCTAGGAAAAATATGATTCCACATACATAACCCAAAGTCTTCTTCTGATTGATCTATGTGAAGGTGCACTGCTGACAGAAACCTGGGGTCCAACTCACACAATGACTGAACCAGACAATCCATCAGGAAGGTTTGTCCACACTAAGTCATAGTGTTTTCTACGGTCATACTTTAATGTAAAGTCCCTGCAAGACTTTTTCATGTTTTTCTTCCACACCATGGAGGCATGCTTTGTGTTATTCCTTTAACCCTTTTTAGGATATCTTGCTTATATAATAAATCTGTTCCATGTCAGTTGTACCTCATCATTTTCTAGTTGTGATAGGAGCTGCCGTTTGCAGATGTTAGAACACTAAGCTGGGAGTTGTTTTTTTGTCAGTGTAGATGATGGGTTTTGAAGCATCCATAGTATATCCCATAATCTCTGTATGTAATCTCTCTCAATGGGATTGCTTGTATAGTAGCATTTCATCAGGTCCAAGTTTTCTGGTCTAGTCCATGTATGTCTTTTCCCAGTAGCCCAAAGTACCTGGAAGTGAGTGCCAGACAAGTTGCCCTGGTTCCCTAGCAACTGACGCGGACCTTGTTAACCCTGCGACGAGCCGAGCAGGTATGGCTCTTGTATTTGCGGTTTCCACTAATGCCTTGAGGTAGGCCCTAAGGAGGTAGGCACTAAGGACCTTGCCTAAGGGTCCACCTGGATGTATATAATAACTGTTTTCTCACCCCTCGTGAGGTGGTATGTGTCATCCTCAAGCTCGGGTCCTCTACCAGAGGCCTGGGAGTTTGAGGGTTCTGCGCAGTATCTTAGCTGTTCCTAGGACTGCACTCTTCTGGACAGAGACCTCTGATGTTTTACCTGGAATCTGCTGTAGCAACTCTCCCAGTTTGGGGGTCACAGCCCCCAGTGCTCCAATTACCACTGGCACCACTGCTGCTCTCACTTTCCACATCTTTTCTAGCTCCTCCTTCAGTCCTTGGTATTTCTCAAGCTTCTCGTGTTCTTTCTTCTTGATGTTGCTATCGCTTGGGATTGCCACATCTATCACTACTGCCTTCTTCTGCTGTTTGTCGATCAACACAATGTCTGGTTGGTTAGCCATCACCTGTTTGTCAGTCTGGATCTTGAAGTCCCATAGGATCTTAGCTCCATCATTCTCAACTACCTTAGGAGGTGTCTTCCATTTTGACCTTGGGACTTCCAGCCCATACTCATGGCAGATGTTCCTGTACACTATGACAGCTACCTGGTTATGGCGTTCCATGTATGCACTTCCTGCCTGCATTTTACACCCTGCTGTTATGTGCTGTATTGTTTCAGAGGCATCTTTGCACAGTCTGCATTGGGGGTCCTGCCTGGTGTGGTAGACCCCGGCCTCTATTGATCTTGTACTGAGTGCCTGTTCTTGTGCTGCCATGATTAGTGCCTCTGTGCTGTCCTTCAGTCCAGCCTTTTCCAGCCACTGGTAGGATTTTTTGATATCAGCCACTTCTTCTATTTGTCTGTGGTACACGCTTGTCCCTCCACGATTGTTCTCCCTCATCTTTCTTGTCCTCACTTTCGGTTTTCTCCTGCCTGAGGTATTCGCCAAGCCATTTGTCTTTGGGGGGAATCTTTCTGATGTACTCCTGGATCTTAGTTGTTTCATCCTGGACAGTGGTCTTGACACTCACTAGCCCCCGGCGTCCCTCGCTACGCTTGGTATACAGTCTCAGGGTGCTGGATTTGGGGTGGAACCCTCCATGCATTGTGAGGAGCTTTCTCGTCTTGATGTCAGTAGCCTCTATCTCCTCCTTTTTTTTTTTTTTTTTTTTTTTATTAATACAATGCAAGCAGTGATAAAAAAGAAAAAAACACAATCAAAAACACTTGGTACAGCGTTTGAACCTCAGATTTTGGATCCAAACTGGAAAGATTTGATGATTCAGGTGCTAAGACCAAATATCTCTAAGGAAATGCAAGACTTTTATTTCATCAATATGTTTCCTTTCCTGTTAAAGCAGAGAAAACCTCTCAGAAATTGGACATAGTAGCCTTTCAAAAACAGAAACACATCATCTTTACACCTCTTAATGAGTTAAGTTTAGATGATATTTCCAACAAGGGAAAATTGGTAAATGTTAGGCAAACAAAATAAGACTAAATCTTACAAGAAAAAAAAGTAATACCCAAAGAAAAACATGGTGGTAACAGCATTATGCTCTTTGCGTTGTCCAAAAACCTTCAGGTGTCTGATAGACAGATGAGGTTGAAGAGAGATTACTCTTAACCGCCATGGCGAGTACAAGCAAACATCCACATTAACATGAAAATCCCCTCATAAGTAGAAAACGATAATCAGTATGGTGGCCTGAAAAGAATGTCCTCTTAATCTGATCGGTTTAGTGAAGTGTTTGGAAGGTAGGCAGGGAAAATATATAAAAATGTGTCAAACTGACAAACTCTGACCAAAGAAAACTGAACTTAAAATCTAAAAACCCAAGTAGAAATGTATTAAATATTTTCCAAGCCTTTTTCACTCTTTGTTATGCCTTAGACGCTTGATTTTGCTCAGGTGAAGTCCCCTAATTATAAAAGTCCTGATAGTGTGAAGCGTGTGAAGCGACTATTGTGGTGCTGTGGCTGTGGGGTCTGCAGGTAGGTTTTTAGCTTAAGGCTACAACTGTTTGCCTAAATCCTCTCTTTTTTTCCCACGAGTTCAGCTGATGTTGTCAAGATGCACATAAAAAATATATAACTAAATAATTGCTTTTCATTCATAGATGAAATACGTCTGTTAATCTTAGACTTGATAAATGGAAAAGCTTAAACGTGTGAATAGATTGTTTTCGTAGCAGTCTCTTATATTAAGAAACACTAAAGCCTCCAAAGCAAAACAAGCAAAAGCAGTATTTTTTTTTTTGTTCCACAGAATGAACCCCTTATTGTGGTTATATAAAAAAAGAAACATCACATGCATTCTGCACTTTTCTGCCTCTGCATACCAGAAAAGTGTGAAAACCAAAAAAGCTTTTCCTGCCTCATAACCTTTCACACGTTCTTGAGCTGCAACAAGGTGCCGCACCTTCAACTGTAAAGCATTGATGGGCACCTGCGCCTGAAGCGACATGGAGAGCGGCCTCGTTCGCTCCATCTACTATGGCAGAATTGGGAGCTCGGCCACGGAGAAGCTGCTGGAGAAGTTTGGACAGGACGGGAGCTTTTTGTTGAGAGACAGCGAGACGGTGCAAGGGGCCTACTGCCTCTGTGTGAGGTGAGATTCTATCTCTCAGCTTCCGCTTAAAGATATTTTTTTTTGATGTTTTGGTCTAAATCTTATAAAATTGACAGATTTACAGTGTTTATTCCTCAATACTCCAAATATTTTGTTCTTGCTAACATTTTCTACGCCAACCAAACTGAGGCAAGGTAAGAGACTGGTTAGATATTTACGGTTTACTACAGACTTTGAGGGATTTAATTTTCTTAAATTTCAGATACATTTTCAGGTAGGTTTCCAATAGTAAATCCTTCTATAAAATTGATTTGTATCCAAAAAGACTATGAGTAGATTGTTGAAACCTCTAACTTAGCAGAATGCAATAAAAGTGGCACAGACGGCAGGCTAGAAGTGTCTGACTGAGGAAACCCATAACATGAAAAGCCCTCTCTACTCACAGCAGAGAGATCTGTTAACCATGATCTCAGCATCTCTTTGTCTACAGCAGTTCAGTCACTACAATGCAGTTACATCTGCTGCTCTGCATCGCATAACAACCAGTTTTGTAACTGAAAGTGCAAAGAACGTTTGATACGTCATTAGGCTTATTATCTAACGGCACAGCGAAGAACCTGCGCTACGAAGATTGCAGAATCATTTTACATTTTCAACCTTTTTTCAAATTTTTTCAAATAGATAAAAAACTTTTTTTCCACTATTCAATTTTAGTTGAATCAAATCCATTTGACCAAATCTTACTGGCAAAAGGACCTTTTTTAAAGTGAAATCAAATCAGGTTCATTTCACTAGAGCTTCCTTCACAAATGGTAACAAAAGACTAACATCTCTTCATCTGCTCTGCAAAAAACTTAGAATAATCTGAGTACACAGAATAGGAGTGTCTTTGAATCCCTTTTTACTTTCTGTCTCACTTACAGTCAAGCTATAATCTTAGCTAGATAATCTTAAATTTTACTACCATGTGTCCTTCGCTCTTAGGCTATAACAGCATTTTGGAGCATCCTGATCAGGGGCCGGACCTAAACTGTGGAGGGTAACTGAAAATTGGGATTTAATGACAAAGAAAACTTCTCGGCTGCTGTAAAATACACGATGAAAATACCAGCAGAAACAAGCAAAACAAATAACGTATTGATCGCTGATTATTGAAGAGTGGATGAATAATATCAATATCCTACTTTTATTCCTAAAATTTATATACAAACAAATGTTTTTTTTTATATTGTTTTATTAATTTATTGTTATATTAATTAGTTTTATCTAATTTAATAATTAATTTCCATTTGGAATCTATACAGTATTTTTGAACTGTATTGGATTGAATCCACTCATCTTTAGAGAGGCGCCTCTATCATTACTTTAAGAGTCAGAATTCTTGGTTGAATGAGAAAAACTTTACTTAATTTAACATTATATAAATAATATTTTTTTTATGATTTATTGTAAATCAGTCATATCCACAAGTATATTTCAGTAGTAGACAAAGATAACTGATAAGGTGTTTAAAGCTGCCTAGCTGGATGTAATCTGCCACAGTTGGTAAGGAGTGTTTTACATCCACTGTGGGGGAGTTTTGAACGACTGTCACAGAGTTGTTCTAAATAAACCACATTGGAATCATTTTAATTAAGATGGACCTGATAAAGGTTTTTTCTTATTTCTGTATCAATGTAGTTCTTGTCAGGCTTACATTCATGTAAAATCATTTTTTCTATGTCTATTAATTACTTCTTTAGTGTCATAAGAAACAAATATTTGATGATCAGGGAGATAAAAGAACCTGGAAGTGAGCAAATACCTTTTCATGGCAGAAAATGTTTTAATTCAATTAAAAATCTCCCCTTTTTTCCCCCAAACCAAAACACTGTAAATGATGGTAATCATTGATTAATAAATTAGTCCAGATTCAACAAATCCACATTATCCTGGGTTTTTTTCCGTTAAAAGTTTAAATTTGTCTTGAGGTCAAATAAAACTTTAAAATGTGCACTTCTTTATATTTCCATAAAACATGAAAGACTTTGAAAAATCAGAATAGAAAATGCATTTATTGTCCCGTAGTGGGGTAATTCTTGTGTTTACAGCGATAAAAAGATTATAGAAAAAATGGCCAAACAAATGTGGACCTTAGAAAATGTATAAGACAATAGTGAAGAGTTAAAAGATAAAGTATAAAATATAGTACTGTAAAGTGTTCTAATAATATAAAAACTATGCACCTTGAGAATAAATAACCAATATACAGCTGTGGTCATTTTTACAGTAAAGGAGATTTGAAAATAGCAGCAACATCAGAGATGTGCAAAATGACATCAGATGACTTCATTGAACAAAGTTTGATACAAATGCTTTCCTGATTCCTTAAATAGCAGCCAAACAAATCTTTTGTTGAGCACCAAAGACAAATTGCATTTCTTTAAACATCCCTGGAATCATATATTACACCCTTAGTTATTATAGTTGCCTCATTGTAACTTGTATTTACACTGCAAAAAAATTAAATCTAAATAAGTCCTTTTTTCTTAAAATCAGTGCATTTTTTCTTGAAATAAGGATTGAAGTGAGACACTTTGCCAATGGAACAAGACAATTTACACTTTAAACAAAAAAAAAAACAATTGCATTGTCTTATTTCAAGTGCATAATATCTACATAGCTTATTTTAAGAGTAAAAATACTAATTCCATTGGCAAATCATCTTATTAACCTGCTCAAATTAAAGGTAAATACACTTAATTTAAGACATTTTTACTGATTTTGTGATCGTTTTTACAGTGTATCTCAAAGCCTTACAGAGAAATCACATCTTAAGGCAAAATGTACATTTATTAAAAGCCACAATAATTTATTTTTCATATCAGATATTTACTGAAGAGAATTAGAAGCAACAAAACAAAGAAAAACATCTAAATACAAAACACCTTGATTAGAAAGTTGAACCTTTTGTAAAATCAATTTCAATTTCAGTCCCCAGTTAAAACTTTAACAGCTTTCAGAAATGTTGAGTCTTTTCCTAAAGCCTGTGTGGAAAACTCATGGGGGTATTAATGTACCACATCCTTTTGCAAAATCTATTCTACCTTAAAATAAACAGAACATTTCTCACTCTCTTCAAGGCTACATAAACGGAGAGCACAGAAAACACTGAACTTACTCACAGAATGATCTTTCTCTAAATGATTGATAGCAAAATTCAAGGAAAAACTGGGATATCTGATCATGTTTATGTGTCTCTAATTAGACAATTTAAATAAGGCTTTCATCTTCTAGAAGTCCATCTTTTATCAGCTGACAGCAATCGGATATAACAGGGGTTAGAGCTTTAAATCCACCTCATCTGTAATAATAAAACCTTTTTCAGGAACAGGGAAATAAATTATTATTGCAAAGAAATACAGGTGACAGGTGGAGCCGAGCAGCGTGGAGGACCAGCAGCAAACATGAGGATTTTAGGACTTGAGGATACTAACTCATTTGTAATTTATTTCAACCTAAGAATCTGGAGTGACACATTTTTTTCAGTAGGTCATATCTGTTTATGAGTGTGTTTTTTATTAATTTGGGTAAAAAATGGATAGTAAAAAACATAAAAAGGGAGGCTGATTGCAGAAATCATTGGAAGTTTCTTAAAGCAGTTATTATCTTTCAAATAAAAGCAATTTTTCAAACATAGAAATCTACATGCTATGTTCATAACAAATACTGGCATGAACCAAGGAAACAATGTATGACATCTGTACAACTGACTATGAGCAGAACTGGTCTTCTGGTGGAGTTTTTGTTGTTTTCTAGGGTTGAAATGAACAAAATGCCTTTGGAACATATCTCTAATTTTGATCATACTTGTTTCTGTTTTTTAATCATTAATAAGTTCTGAAATCTAAGCTTACTTTTGCAACAAGGACATATTCTTACCTTCGGAGCCTGATTCATCCAGCTGGTGAGCTTCTCACATCAGATCCATAAAGGCACATAGAACTAGCATCTGCCATTAAAGGTTTTCCTTGGTCAGTAAAATATCAGGTCCTCTGACATATCTTATTTTGCGAATTTAGACGTTTGTTGTCCAAAGGAGTTTGATGAAGAATCCTCATATCCAAACAGGCTGCGTTCGATCAGACCATCTCAGCTGAAGCTACTGTTAGTTTTACAGCTCCCTTCCAGGCAGCACTAATTCTCTTTACTCCAGAAAAGTAGTGCAAACTGATGTCCGATGTTACAGTGTTCCTATAACTAAGCGGCAATGCTCCATTTTACCAAAATAGCTCTGTTTTTGCTCTACCTGCTGTCTACCTGAACTGTTTATAAACAATGTTGCAACAATGAATGACTTTCCTCTTTCCCTCTTCCAGTCAACTTTTGACTCTCAAATTTTAACAAAGAAAAACACCCATTCTAGGTCACAATTGTATTTTATTAGGTCTTGAATTAGAATGGTGTGTAAATAATGCCCGAGTTTGCATTATCAATATGAAAAGTGTGTCACAGGCACTTTAAAATATTCCGTGACTTGTGATGATGCCCAATGACCAATCAGTTACCAGCAGTCCCCTTTAGTTGCACTTTCAGTGCTACTTTGAACAGGTGAAACCACAAACAAACAGGTTCTAAAAAAAAAAAGCTACAAATGTAAAAGCTATAAAAAGCTACTCAAGCTTTGACAGTCACTAGTAATGAAAAACAGGCATGAGTTGATCCAAGTTACAGAAAATATTTCATGCATTACATTAGAGACTGACATTTATTCGGGAATCCCGTGGGATGGGAGTCAGTATTAGTAACGATCACGTGATTGGGACGGTACAGGATTAAACATTAACAGGAGCAGACGGGAGAGGGAGCAAACCAACTAACCAACTAAAAAAAACTAGGATCAATGCCAAAAAATAAAATAAAATAGAAAGAAAAAAAATCCAGTACTGGCGCCGCCATTTTGTAGTTTTTTTCCTTAAAGCCTACAATATAATGCGAGTCAAAAAAAACTACACGACCCAAAAACCAAAAATGCTTCCGCTCTGAGTTTATCACCCACGCTCAAAAACAACAATGGAGGGACCAACAGTTAGTGGCGAACTGGACTTCGAAAAGTAAAAAAAAAAGTGAAATCTCATTGAAGACAACAAGAATGGGAGTGGTGCAGGAGCGGGAGTCATTCTGAATGGGAGTGGGAGTAATTTCACCAGGAGTGGGACGGGACAGGATTTAGATTTCTACTCTGGCCCGGGATCGGGACGGGACACAATTTTTTTCTGTTGGAGTGGGACGGGACAGGAGTGAAAATCCACTCCCGTGTCAGTCTTTAAATTACATGCATTAGTGCCCCCCAATGACTCTATGGCACCCTGGGTGGAGAGTCGTATCACAGACAGTAACATGCACCTCTGACAGTGAGCATCAGCCCAGCGCTCCGTGAAAAGCATTTCTGTTTAAACCTTAAGGATAGAGTTACTGTTTAGACCCTGGATAACCAACCAAGGGGGGCCATCAGGGGCCTCATGGGGTGCTCACAGCATCTTCTAAAAACTGTACAACTCACCAGTGGGCTAAGATTGAAAATATATTTTATTCTGTTGCCCTTCTTTTCCAATCATTTATAGCCGATCTCATAATTTTAATCATACAGAGCATTTAAGCATTTATAGAGATTGCAAAATTACAATATAATAAATAAAATTAGGAGTTAAAAGAGACACTGCAAAAAAATCTAAATCTAGATAAGTCATTTTTTTCTTAAAATAAGTGCATTTGTTCTTGAATTGAGGAGGTAAAAGAGACATTTTGCCAATGGAACAAGACAATTTACACTTAAAATAAGAAAACTCAATTGCATTGTTTTATTTCAAGTGCATTTTATCCAATTATCTTATTTTAAGTGTAAAAATACTCATTCCATTGGCAAACTATCTCATTTACCGACTCAAATTAAGGATAAATACACTTAATTTAAGAATTTTTTTGTTATTTTTTTTGTTGTTTTTGCCGTGCAATAAAAATATGTGTATTATGTATAAGGTTAAGTGGAAAGCTAATCCCTCCAGTTCATAGGTAGCCCTTCCTATGACTCAGTACCCATTAACTAACCCTCAGCCTTACAAAGGTTGGTGAGCCCTACTTTAGACATTTAATACAATCTCTGACTGAAGGAAACATCTTTATGATGTGGAAGGCCTGTTTTCATGTATCTGGACTTAGAGGCTGTCTCTCTATAGTTCCAATACTGAAGGTTATAATGAATTTTTTTAAATGGTGGCTTAAACGACAGAACTTTACATTTCTATCAGAACTCTAAGTCCCTTCAGTGATATGAAATATTTATCTCGAAATAAATCTGATTATTATCTTTTCAAATTCACATTTGACACATAATGAAGCAATGACATATAGCACTCTCTTGTTTCTGCAGATCCGTTTGATAAGGTCAGAGGTGCAAATACCCACTAATATTACTATATGTCCAAGTTAGAGAGTTTTTCATTAGCGCTCGGTCCATCCTGTTGCAACAGACTGTAAGGGGGGAGACCAAGTGTAGGACACAGTGGTCTGGGTGTGTTTCACACATTATTGCTGTGATCAGAATACATCATAACAAGTCAGCAAAAGATGAGTTTATTTAAAAAAAAAAAAAAGATAAACACATCAGTTGTGCAATTGAGGAGCCTTGGTTCTGTTTTTTTAAGGTAAATTATATCTAAAAAAAAAAAGACACTATTAACACTAGATATTAAAAAATTGGCATCAAACAGAAGAAAATTTGTTTTATTACAAAAAAGTTTGTAACTCTGATCTGATTGACAAACATCTTACAGGTCCTTAAGGAACTAAAATAATGTCTTATTTCTGAATAAACAACACAATAAATAAGAAAAAATAAATAAAATAAAAAAGATAAGGTAACCAATGACTAAAATTTAAAAATGTTAAGCTTTGGAAAGTAATGTTACAACTATTGTGTCTGGTTTCAGAGTGAGTGTGCTGATCGTCAGTTACTTAATGTGTCGGATTCTAGCATTTGCTACTTCGCTTTAGCAGAACTTCAATAACAGAGTTTTTGTCTCACAGGAAAGCGCCCTATGTACACACTTACAGGGTGGAGCGCGACAAAGATGGCTGGTACCTTCAGGTGGGTGAACGTTACAGAGCAGATCAAACACGTTCACACACTGAGACGCAACCACTCTTTCCACTCATCTCTACGGTGCTGTAAAAAAAAACTTTTGCTATCTAAAGCTTTTTTCTACTTTTGCTTTTTTCACTATGGTTGAAGTATTTCAGATAAAAGAATACTGACAAAAGAAAGAAACTATTGTAAATTAAAAACTGCTTTTAAATAGCATTTATTTATTAAGATAAAATAATGTTTAAACTTAATAATTCGTGGTGCCAAACATGGCAGTTTCCATTAAAAGTCTTTTTTTTTTTTTTTTTTTTTTTTTTTTTACAGTGTCCTGTCTGGCCATGTGGCAATAAGAATAATTGTCTTGATGCCAATAAGAGCCCAACAGATTTTACTTTTACAAGTGTAGCAGTATGGTAATTGCCATACTGCTCCACTTGTTTCATGCATATAAATTGCTTTATTATAATTATGCAGGGAGTTTTACAGTTTATACGGACACTGCAATGTAAATAGAACAGAAAAACAGAAGAAGAAAGGGGAAAAAAAGAGAAAAGATGAAAGAAAGAAGAGATTAGACATTAAAGTTTTTAAAAAAATTTGCAGCAATTTAGATTTAAATCCTTACTTTGACTAGGCCGTCCCACAACCTTTTTAAGTTACTTGAGTATTTAGCAGCTCGAACGTAAACATTCTGCTGAGCTTTGGGTCATTATTCTGCCACAAAATCTCAAGGATGCTTGAGGTTAAGGTTAAAACTGGTGGCTGATTGTTCGCCTTGAGGTTTCTCTTACAGAAAGCAGAAACTTGACCATCAGACTGCCACCACTTTTTAAAACCACTGTTTGGGGTTCTTTTTCTGAAATATTGATATTAAATGCTAAAAAGTCTGATTTTTTTCTCTTCAGTCTACAAAATACTTTTCATATATGTGAGAAGGGCCTTTTGTGATGTAAGGTTTCTTTTTGATCAGCAGTGGACAAACCTTTGAAATCTCCAATTTTTGCCCAGTTCATGTTTTTTTCTTGAATCATGAAGCGATCAAATGAATTAACAAACAGCGCTTCTTATGAAGTTTTGGGTTCTTTTAGGACCTCCTATATTCATTTTCCTTGCCCTCTTGGAGTGGTTTTGGTAGGTCAGCCATTCCTGGGTAAGGTTCATTGTTTTATCTTGTTTTCTCCATTTAAAGACAATATCAGTCCTTAGAAATTACATCTACAAGTCTTTCCTGATTGAAAAATGTCAGCTACTTTGTTTCTTTACTTAAATTTTCTTGAATTCTGACTTTTTTTTTAATCTTTTGAGATCTTCAGCCTGCTTCATGTTGTCATACAGGTTCCAGTTAAGGATTTTCTAGATTCTACTTATCTAGTATTTTCAAGGTGGTTCGATTTTAATTGAGGTTATGATTTAGATTTTAAAAAAATCACATTTGGTAATTTAAAATGTCTGAAAAAAATGTTTAAAAAAAAACAAATAAAGAGGATTTCTGTCATTTGTGTGCGTGTGTTAAACAGGATTTGAAAGGCCGACTGCTGAGGTTTGAAACTCTGGAGTCTCTTATCCAGAACTACAGGAGGGACAGGGTGTCTCACTTTGGCATAGTTCCCCTCACTTATCCACTGGACAAAACAACAGTGCCAAGCGGCTGGGTTCAAGGTACACAGATTTACAGGCACAACCTCAAATAAAAAGAGCATGAACACACTGGTGCTAACACGCACAGATACTTCCACATGATTGATATGAGTCAGCCTTTTCACAAGTTTTTATAGAGAGGCTGTCTGGCACATGAAAATCTCAACTCTAACAGAGTTTCACTGATTCGTATCGCAGGTCCGGCCTACATGGAGCTGAACGGCAGCGAGTCGGGCCAGTGAAACCCTACGCTAAGACCAAGGGCTCTTCAAGAATCCACTTTTTTCATCCTTTGCTTCAGCTCACAGCTACTTATTTATTTCTGTATCAAAATGTGTGTTTATTTGTGATACCTTTAAAATAAATGTGAATAAATGAGATTCTTGAAAGATGCTGTGTAATTATAGGCCTTCATCCCTTATCTAGTTATCTGTGGTTTCCTCCCTGCATATCTGATCTTTATCTTTTTTCTATTGTTGCCTTATTGTGTGTGTGTGAGAAAAAGTGTGTTCTCCCTTCATCATGTGTCTGGATTCTACGACGGAGTATTAGGGCCACACATGAAGAGAAACATTTTTTTTGCCATGACGAGATTGAACTCGACATGTCGACTTTAAAAGTCGACATGTCGACGTTAAACTCAACATTTCGAGAATAAAGTTGAAATGTCATGTTGAGTTTAATCTCGACGTGTCGACAATAAAGTTGAAATTAGTTCAAGAGAGCCAACCGCTGCACAGGATACATGCACAGAATCCAGAATCAGACATGCCTTGTGTAGATGATTTGGTCAAATTGTACTTTCTGTGATGATTAGACAGTTATACAGTGGCAGCACGTCAAAGACTACCTTCACTCTTAAAACGCAGACTGCAGCTGTGGAGCGCGGTTGCTCTTTTCTCCAAACTTTGGAATGTCGAGATTAAAGTCGCCACGATATATCAACTTTATTCTCGAAATGGCGAGTTTAAAGTCGACAGGTCGAGTTTAAAGTCGACATGTCGAGATTAAACTCGTCATGGCAAAAATATTTTTTCTCTTCATGTGTGGCCCTAATACTCCGTCGTAGGATTCTGATGATTTGTAGCGCATAGAAAAAAAATGTTTTGCCTGAAGGGCCTTTTGATTTAGTTGTTTTTTACTACGTGCTTTAATCAGCATACGGATTGCTCTGCTTTAACCATCTTCATCTCTGTGGTTTGTTTGTTGTTTGTTTGTTTTTTTGCTATCTGAGGACATGAAGGTTGTAGCAGGGCAGGAAATAGAGCAGTGCACCTAACGCTGATAGCATCTGTTGTGGGACAGCTACAACAAAAGGCTTTAATTGCTAATTTCGTTTTGCACCAATTAATCAAGTCTCCATGCTGTATCAAGTAAAAAAAAGATTCTAAAGCATCAGGAGACTCATTCCTTTGACAGACACTCTGTATTTGCTGTATTTGTCAGCCATGCTTATAGTTCATTTTGCTGCTGGAAATTAATGCAAACTAATGGGTGTTAAAAAAAATTTTTTTTAGTCAATTAAATAACCGGAACCAAGTTGAATGCTGTAGCTAGAAAAGAACACGTGCTTCAGCGGGACAATGTGTGCGGTTAAACTTATCAAGCATGACCTCTTTAGATTTTCAAATACAGCTTTATGTTTTTGCATCAATGTTTCATGTGGCTTAATCAACACGCCTGAAACAAGAGATGGATGAAGCCACAGTTTGTTTGATGTTCCACTGAGATTAAACTACACAGTAATGTCATTCAATTCAGTTGCTTTATATAGTGAACATTCACAAAGAGCTGAAGAAAAAGAAAAGCTTTTTCTGCACACATTCCAAGTTAAAATTATTATTCAGATTAGTTTAAAAGTTCTGTCCCTAAAATTAATTTAGGACCAAAACTTCAGTATGATTTATAATGATCTATTGAGAAAAGTGCTTAAACCTTAGGAATAATTTAGGAATCATTAACAATATGCTGAATGCATCTAAGAATCATGTATCTTTAACTTTGCATTTGCCTCTATTGCTTTTACATGATGCTGTATAGCAGGTGGGGGAAAGTAGGGATGTAGTCGAGGATCTGCCATTTAAAAACCTCTCACCCTGTTGTTCTGTTTAGAGCTGCTCCAGTTGTTCACATACCAGGTTCACAAACTGCTATAATATTGGAAACAGACCAGCTAAAACAAACACATTTAAAACGCATCCTTAAAATTAAGAATAATATAGATTTATTTGTATTTAATAGACCTGTCCAGGGTGTACCCCGCCTCTCGCACATTGACTGCTGGAGATAGGCACCAGCACCCCTTGCGACCCCACTTGGGACAAGCGTGTAAAGAAAATGGATGGATGGATGGATGGATGGATGGATGGATGGATGGATGGATGGATGGATGGATGGATGGATGGATGGATGGATGGATGGATGGATGGATGGATGGATGGATGGATGGATAGTATTTAATATGAAACAAACTAAAAGCCAACATCTAAAGAAGTAAAAAAAGACTTAACAAAAAAAGAAGCTTGAGAGGGATTTTGAAATATACAGGCAACCAATGGGGTAACATTAAAGCAGGAGTGAAGTGCTCACTCAACAGGGGCCTAATATATGTACCCCTAATCTCTAAAAATAAGGCTTTACAGTAATCCCAGTCTGGTTGGATTACAGCTGCCTTGATAGAAAGAAATTAATTTCTGTTAACTGCCTCAGATAGAAGAATCTTGATTTTACAAATTCCCTAATTTGGTCATCAGGTTTCAGGTCTGCCATCATTTGAAATCCTTAGTTTTTGATGAAATATCTAACAGATTGAACCAAGATGTCAAGATTTAGAGGAGGAGGGCTCTAATTATACAAAAAAAAAAAAATGTTTCTGTTTTTTATTTCTAAATTTCATAACGTTTAGAAATAATCATGCCTTCATATCATAAAAGCATTTTAAAAAAGAATCTAATGGGTAACCTTTTGACTTTTTTAGGCAGGAGATACATTTTGAAACCATCTGCATAACAGTGAAAGGAAACTTGATGTTTCCATATAAAAATGCTAAATGGTAGCAGACAAATGGAAACAGAAGAAAACACTGAGCCTTGTGGGGACCCATAATAAAAAGAGGGAGGATGACTCAAAATCCCCTAACTTGGAGAACATTTGCTCTGCTAGATAAGTTTTATACCACTCCATTGCAATACTTTTGAAACCTACTTCTTCTAAACGAGAATGTAAATTTTGTGGTCGGCTGCATTAAATTAAGCAATTAATTAACCAAATTCACAGTTGGTACGAGTTCATTACTCTTAAGTATGCTGAGCACTAAACCACACTGAAAGACTTATTAAACCTTCTATTTAATTCTCTTTCAAATATCTTATAGATGAATAGAAATTTATGTATAAATGCCTGTGATTTTGAATATTACTGGAATCAAGAACAGTTAAAAACGTGGATTACTGGTCATTTAAGGTTTGTGTTAACCCTTTGGGTTTTTTCATCAAGGTGTTTTTAAAAGTCAATCACGCCTCCTTAGGCTTCAGTTTAATGTAGTACAACTTTACTCCAGACTCTCATACCAGAGGTGTCAAAACCAGCTGTTGTGACAGCAAGAAGAACACTGCTTTGAAAAGGAGTAAATTGGGTGACAGGCGCAAATATGAAGCAACTTAATGAAGTATGCCAAATGCAGTGAAACAGAAAAACACACTGCAAAAGGAAAATGCTGCAAGAAGCAAACATATCAGTAAGAAAGAAAAGGCTGCATTGTTGCACTCGACCACTAGGGGGACTTAAAAACCAATTTATGTGGAAGCAGGCCTTCAGTACAGGTGCTGGTCATAAAATTAGAATATCATGAAAAAGTAGATTGATTTCAGTAATTCCATTTAAAAAGTGAAACTTGTATATTATATTCATACATTACATACAAACTCATATATTTCAGATGTTTATTTTGTTTAATTTTGATGATTACAAATGACAACAAATGAAAATCTCAAATTCATCATATCAGAAAATTAGAATATTGTGAAAAGGTTCAAAATTGATGGCCCCTGGTGCCACACTCTAATCAGCTAATTAACTCAAACCACCTGCAAAAGCCTTTAAATGGTCTTTCAGTCTAGTTCTATAGGCTACACAATCATGGGGAAGACTGCTGACTTGACAGTTGTCCAAAAGACGACCATCGACACCTTGCACAAGGAGGGCAAGACACAAAAGGTCATCGCTAAAGAGGCTGGCTGTTCACAGAGCTCAGTGTCCAAGCACATTAATAGAGAGGCGAAGGGAAGGAAAAGATGTGGTCGAAAAAAGTGTACAAGCAAGAGAGATAACCGCACCCTGGAGAGGATTGTGAAACAAAACCCCTTCAAAAATGTGGGGGAGATTCACAAAGAGTGGACTGCAGCTGGAGTGAGTGCTTCAAGAACCACCACACACAGACGTATGAAAGACATGGGTTTCTGCTGTCGCATTCCTTGTGTCAAGCCACTCTTGAACCACAGACAGCGTCAGAAGCGTCTTGCCTGGGCTAAAGAGAAACAGGACTGGACTGCTGGTGAGTGGTCCAAAGTCATGTTCTCTGATGAAAGTAAATTTTGCATTTCCTTTGGAAATCAAGGTCCCAGAGTCTGGAGGAAAAGAAGAGAGGCACTTCATCCACGTTGCTTGAAGTCCAGTGTAAAGTTTCCACAGTCAGTGATGGTTTGGGGTGCCATGTCATCTGCTGGTGTTGGTCCATTGTGTTTTCTGAGGTCCAGGGTCAACGCAGCCACATACCAGGAAGTTTTAGAGCACTTCATGCTTCCTGCAGCTGACCAACTTTTTGGAGATGCAGATTTCATTTTCCAACAGGACTTGGCACCTGCACACAGTGCCAAAGCTACCAGTACCTGGTTGAAGGACCATGGTATCCCTGTTCTTAATTGGCCAGCAAACTCTCCTGACCTTAACCCCATAGAAAATCTATGGGGTATTGTGAAGAAGAAGATGCAATACACCAGACCCAACAATTCAGAAGAGCTAAAAGCCACTATTAGAGCAACCTGGGCTATCATAACACCTGAGCAGTGCCACAGACTGATCGACTCCATGCCACGCCGCATTGCTGCAGTAATACAGGCCAAAGGAGGCCCAACTAAATACTGAGTGCTGTACATGCTCATACTTTTCATGTTCATACTTTTCAGTTGGCCAACATTTCTATAAATCCTTTGTTTTTATTGGTCTTCAGTAATATTCTAATTTTCTGATATGATGAATTTGAGATTTTCATTTGTTGTCATTTGTAATCATCAAAATTAAACAAAATAAACATCTGAAATATATGAGTTTGTATGTAATATATGAATACAATATACAAGTTTCACTTTTTAAATGGAATTACTGAAATCAA